TTTTTTTTTAACTTTTTTTTTTTTTGGGCAGTTTTTTTTTTTTTTTTTTTTTTTAATGTTACCAAAACAGTTTTTATACCAACATTCAAACAAGCATTTAATATTTGGGTAAAAGACCAATTAGACTGTTCACACTCAAGAAAAGGAAAAGTCTTGTAAAAATCTAGTTTAAAACACGTAAGTTTTAGAAAATTAAATTGACTCTTTGTATACATATTGGTTTTATATGGATTTGAAAAATGTGTATGTAAATTTAAGGACTCTAAAAATCTCCTTAACTCTAAAAATGTTAAGGATTCTAGAAATCTTCAAAGTCTCCATAAAGACTTTATTGGTCACGCTACATAACTTTGATTTGGTGGGCTAATATTTTAAAATATTTTTTAATATATTTTTTCTTAGACTTTTTTTTAAAAATTATTATTATTATACATTTTATTTATAGGCGCCTTTCACGACACTTAAGGACACCATACATCAGTAAACAAAATCATCAAACAATAGGGCAGCACAGCCTACCTGCAACTAAACATTACATAAAAGCCTGCCTAAATAAGTTTTAAGTCTAGATTTAAAAACCACAAGACTTTGACTATTGCGAATATCCACCGGTAGTGAATTCCATAGATACGGAGCAGCATAACCAAAAGCTCGTGACCCCATAGAAGTTGTCCGAGTGCGTGGAAGTACAAGAGTGAGTGCAGAGGCAGATCGTAAGATACGTGTAGGAGGAGTATTTATACAAAGGAGATCGGATAAGTATGAGGGAGCTAAATTATTAAGTGCCTTGTAAGTTAAAAGCAAGATTTTAAAAGTTATGCGATTATTTAACCGGGAGCCAATGCAGATTTTGTAGCACAGGAGAGATGTGCTCCGATATGGAAGTTTTGGAAATAACTCGTGCAGCCGCATTATGAACTAGCGGAAGTTTATGTAAAAATTTAGAAGGGAGTTCATAAAACAAGGAATTACAGTGGTCAATTCGTGATGTTACTAAAGCAGGTAACACTTTATAATAACTTTCATTAATAAATAATTAACAAACATTATATAATGCTTAATGGATCATTAGTTAATATATATTCAAAGAGATGTATACAAATCATTATTTCATGTAAGTTAAAATGCTTACAAATGTCATCAATCTTTCAATTCCAAATGATCAAGCACTTATTTAAAAACTACAAATGATTTTAACAGATGTTATAAAATGATTAAAAGCTTGTGTTAATGCACAACACTTCTGCTGCTATTGAGGTGTGATACGGGTAAGGTTAGGGACAGGTTTGGTGGTATGGGTAGGTTTAAGGGTTGGTTAAAGGGTCAACAGTGGGGTCAATTTGATTATTATAAGGGAACACGGTTCAATCTGTTTATATTATATTGTTTTGATAAATAAACAAGTATTTTCTTTTAAAAATGATTTGTTTTCCCCTGTTTATTTAT